CAAAACTTCTCAGGGCTTTCAGTGATGTGGGCATTGGGAAGTGAGCGACAGCTGGAAGCTTATCGGGATCCTGAAGAGCACCGTCTCTTGTGATGACATGTCCCAAGATGATTTGTTTTCATGCTGTGGAGTGGCACTTCTTGGAGTCAAGTTGTAGGCTTGCAGAAGTTATACATGTAAAAAGTTTGTTGAGACGACCAAGATGTGTCGGGAAATCCGCTGAAAAGAACATGATGTCGTCCAGGTAACACAAGCAAGTCTTCCACTTGTGGGCACGCAAGATGGTATTGATCATGCGCTCAAATGTAGCAGGCGCGTTGCAGAGCCCAAATGGCTAGACTTTGAACTCATATAGGCCATACAGCGTTACAAAGGCTGCTTTAGGACAATCACATTCAGCCATTGGCATCTGCCAATACTAAGACCGTAGATCCAAGAAACTAAAGTACTCGGCACCTTGTGAACAGTCAAGAGTATCATCTATTTGTTGTAGCAGGTAGACATCTTTATTCGTAATCTTGTTTAGGCGACGATAGTCCACGCGAAATTGAACGGTGCAATCTTTTTTCTTTACCGGAGCCACAGGTGATGGCCAAGCGTTTGGAGAAGGCTTTATGACTCCACGTTTAGGCATGTCATCTACTTGCTCCGTAACAATGCTGCGCTGTTTGGCGGAAAACGTGGTAAAGACGCTGTCGCAGAGGCGAGTGTGAGCTGGTGTCAATAGTAAAAGTGGTAGTCTTGGTGCGGCACAAAGCAGGTTTTTGAAAGTCGAAAAAAGAGCGAAACTTGTTAAGAAGAGCAACAAGTTGGCGGCGATGCGAGGGGGAAAGTAGGCGTCAATAGCAATGTCAAGGGCTGACGAACTTGATGGCTCAGACACATGAGTCTGAGCAATGTGACATGAGGTTTCACCGGGCACGAATAATTTCATCGATATGGCTCGACAGGTTGTACATATCCCTAAGGATTTACCATAGAGTAACCCAATGGGGCAGTTAGTGGTCGGTAACAACATTATGGTTGAACCAGATGCAATTGTAAGAACGGAAAATGGGAGAACGATGCCCTTGCACTCAGAAAACACCGGAGATGGCGTAAACACCACGGTGGCGTCAGGTTGCGCCACACATGAAAGGGTATTAGGGACAGAAGCTTCCGGAGGCAAGGTGATGTCGTCATCAGCGATGAGTTTGCAGAGGGGAGAAGAACGATCAGGCGATGCAAATTCACATGTTGGCACAAGGACACTTCCGCACGTGAACAATCGATGATAGCTTCATGACGTGATAAGAAATCTCAACGCAGGATGACGTCATGAGAGCAAGATGGTAGAACGAACAATTGGACGATGTACAAAACGTCATTGATGACGACGCGCGCCGTACACACAGCCGAGGGATGAATCCCTTGCGCGCTTGTCGTGGACAGCACCATGCCACAGAGAGATGTGGTCACTTTCTTCAGGTCTCCGACAAAATTTTGCGTTATTTACAGAAACGGTGGCCCCGGTATCATTAGCGCTTGTGTGGCGACTCCCTCAACAGCATCAATATTTTATGGTAAAAATGGAGTCTATTGAAAATTGCACAGAAGTTGAAGTTCTTGCCTCTGGAACTGCACTGATTAGTTCCCTCCTCAGGAGGAGGTCGATGACGCATAGACGATAGCGAACGGCGACGAGAAAATGGGAAATGAGCAGTTGATGGGTGGCCATTCGAGTCGGAGTGCCTCTGTTCGTACGCTGACGTGGTATTATGCTGCGGCGCGTAAGTAGGCGTTTCAAAGGTGGCGTATACGCAGGTGTCGGACGGCGGCGGCAGAAGCGTGCAGTACGACCAGCGATGCCACACGCGAAGCCAGATAGGACGGTTGTCATGGGTGCGTCACTTATTAGATGGACGAAAAAAGCGAGGTAAAACCTGTAAACTGGAGGCGAGGCCGGAGGAGGAAAATGGGAGGAGGTGTAGCCGATACGGAGGCTGGATGCGGCGTGGGCCATGCGACCCCAACTGCGTAACTGAGAGGTGAAGGTGGCGCAGGTGGTGCGTAGCCGGAAGTCGAGAGATCAGATGATACCGAAGTGCATGGGTAAGGGGCTGGAACTGTAGGAAGGGCATCGCTGATTTCGGTGCGTATGGCCTGGTGCAGCGTCGAAGACGGGCTTGTGGTGGGTGCGTCACTATGCGGCAGGAGCGAAAGCTGGCAGGTGACTTCCTCTCTGATGAAGTATTTGATCTCGTTGGACAAAGTTCCTTAGCGAACGTTGCCATTTGCGAGTGCAGCTGACCGAGATTGCAATCTCGTAGGTGGGACCCGCCAAAGTCGGGAGAGGGAACTCTGACGACGCAATTCATCAAAGCTCTGGCACAGGGCTTACGAGCAAAGGCTTACAATTCGTGAAGACAAACGAACCTTTTTCCAAAGAGTTCGACCGTTTCCTTAGGGGTGCGGTACAGTTGGAAGACAATGTATAGGCGGCATCTCAGATAACGAAGCATGCAGAAGGGACGTTCAGCCTTCAAGGTGCTCACAGCAAGCGATGTGCAAACTTACGAAATATTTAAAACGCATCACGACGCTGTGAATCAGCACCAGTCGGTTACAACGGAACTCGTTCAAAAGCTCACAATCGCAGTACTTTCTCGGAGGAGTGAGAGTTAGAGATTCCGAGTGCTAGAAAGGGTTCACAGCAAAGCGCCGAGTTCTCTTGCGCCGTCTTGGTCTTTGCTACAACGAAGGCATGCGGATTGCGAGCGCAGGTCGGGTGTAGGGCTAAGGTACAAGCAAACAACTTATACGCAGTTACCGCTCTTTTTCTCTCCTCTCGTCACATCTTTGTTGCCCTTCTCCTCTTCTCCATGGCTCTGCGTGCGCTGACCATGACATTCTCCGATCTTAACTTCTTGCCCTGAAGGATCACTTCCCCGTGCTCCCGCATGGTTTTCCTTTTCGAGCAAGCACGTCTTGTCGTCGGAAAGCTTCGGAAAACGACGTGCGCTGGAACAAATTTTCACCGAGCAAGCGTTTTATAATGAATTCAACCTTTTTTTTCAATTACTTCTGCACTTTATTATGTGCAGTCAGCAGACTGTGGCAGTAGCCCGCCCATTATTGACATTTATAGGATAAAATAGAAAAAGGTATAGCAATGTTGAATCATAGAGTGCGAAAAAAAAGTTATGCTCTTTTACATTTACCTGATTGTTCTTGCAGTGTGTTGTAAAACGTGCCAATGCCTCGACTATTTCCTTGTTTTTTTATCCATACGACAATGTAATCTTAGAAAAGGCAGTACAGCAGGACACGTTGCGCTATGCGCGTGCATTGAATGTGAAAGCATGTATGGAGCTCTATTCCTGCACGTGCACTACACGGTCGGGTGGTTATGGTGCTCAACTGTTGACCCGCAAGTCGCAGGTTTGATTCCAGGCCGTTCGCGGTGGCGACATTTTTGGTGGAGGCGAAATTGCTCGATACGTTTGTAGTTAGACTGAGGTGCACGTTAACAAACCCCAGTTGGTCTAACTCTCCGGAGCCCTTCATTTCTGCGCTTCTCATAATTATACTGGTGGTTTTGGGAGATTAAACTGAACAATTAATATGGCAAATATAAGTGTACACCCTTGAGCTCTTCCATTAACACCCTCACAAACGGCGTGCTAACAGCCTTTTCCCACTTATACTCTTCTTAGGGTGTACAAGCAAAGAAAATGGTGTTGAGCCATTTAACAAAGGGTGTAAGCTTGAAAACACCCTATCAGGGTGTAAAAAAGTTTACTGTGGTGGGGTTTTTTTTTGATGATAGGAACTATGAAAAAATAAAAAGTCAAGGCCTGCCTTCCGGCTCTACGGTTTTATTTTAGGTTAATTCCCTACGTAAAATAAGTGGCTGAATCCGCCCCTGAAGCAGCCGTGACAGTGTGTTTGGGGTAGTCTAGTCCTGCCTGCCGGTGACAACGTAGAATGCGATGTTTTTAGGAGCCGGCCAATACTCCTACGCATACTTCCCTTAGGCATCCAGTCTACCGAAATGAGACCTTCGCTATGGACGTGAAAAGCTCAAGGGCTAAACGACAGCTGCAGGTAAAGTGTTCTATATTCACCATCATGGTTGCTAGCAGCGCAAGCTAACACTCCCTGGTTAAATGAACATATATAACCCTTAAAGTGGACGAATGGGGGACCGCCGCTGTTGCTCAATCTGTTGAGCATCGGACCCGTTAGTAGAAGGTTGCAGATTCGGTTATTGCCCACCGCAAGTTATCTTTTCGTTGGCTTTACTTTCTCTATATTCAAAGAAAATAATGCAAGTTACATTCACTGTACTTTCCTTGGCCTTCCTTGCTGTTAGCCATAATTACTGTGATGTCTAACAATGAAAAGCGAGCCCTTAAACCTCCAATTTTTTCTATATGAGGCACATGGCTAAGTAGGTATTAACGGGTCATTTTCAACCACCTGGGTTTTATTATCGTGCATCGAGATACAGGAGCGTTCTTTTGATTTCCTCCAAGTAAAATGTGGCTGCTATGGATTGCAATCAAAGCGCTCTACTTAGCAGCGTGCCTACTTACGTGCCAAGCTACCACGGTGGGTCACAATGTAAACTATATGAAAAGTGAATGAACAGTGCTGGCCCTATAATCGTTATCACTATGATTGACAATATGAGCGTTATTACCGAACTCAGTAGACTTTTTCTTCACGAAACATAAAAAGATATGTGATATCTGTGGCAGTTTATAAAATTGGACACACCACCATATCAGCAGAGATAACTGAAACATATAGAAAGCGCGTTTTTGTCGACAAATTTCGACTGGTGGAGTAGTATTGGTTCGCTTTAACGTCCTTCTCACGTGGTCGACTCTGATGCTGTCCACTTACGTGTTAACTTGCAGCACCATTCAAGCCAACCACATGAAGTGATTCTAAAAGCGTGATCCCGAGGTTTGAAAAATGCGCTCATGATCCCGTCTCTGACAAACGGCTCGCAGCTTAAGGTGTTCGTGCCAAGGGAAGCTGGCCGGCCGTGCTGCCGCTGGGTGTACCCGATCGTGTTCGGTGGTGGCCTGGTCAGTGGAGACGCCGTCCGCATTGACCTCACTGCAGCCACCGGGACGTGTGTACTGCTCACGAGCCAGTCGTATCCTAAGGTGAGTCTACCTATAGCGCACAAGCAGGTGGCTTCACTCGGTGGCGCGACACCTTGTGGTGGTTGCGGGATGAGACGAGGTGTACTGGGGAGCATCGGAGGACTGGTAGACATGCTGACCTGCTTCGCAAAAGAGACATCATTGACAAGTGCGCTTGTTTACCCACACATGAACACTCCTTCAGGGCGCTTTGAGCATCCTCATTCCGAAAATGACGTGTTTCGGCTGAAAACACGCGACTGATAAGTGACAAAAGGCGTCGGTGCCAAATTTTCAGCAACTCGAGCTGCCTGACGTTACCACGTGGATGTATCCTAAACCCCTTGTTGTTGTGCCCTGGTTGATAAAGACTGCGATTCTGCTGCATACCCGCATAACATGGCCCGTCTTACGCAGATGTTGGACACGCGTGACAAGTGGAAAAGGTTTCATAACTTATGCTACGGGCCTCGCATAAATTTAACAATGAACACACACGCAGTGCTCCTTATTGTAGTTTGTTCATTGAGTCGCGACCGAAAATTATAGAATACTCGTGTGGTTTTCCAGACAGGTGAGTTCATATCTTCCTTGCTTAGGGCTTATTGCTAACGACACATGCGAGTAGCGTCCTAATCATTGAATTGGGCTTCGCACCCTGATAGTTGCACAGCTTTTTGAGGATGCGTATCGAATGCTGCGCGATTCATTCACTGGTCGGTAGATAGGGCTACAGTGTAGCCTCACCTAGGTAGCACTGTATACGCTATCTTTCGGTACCATAGTTGTGCCTTTGATAGACTTCGCTGCTTGCGCCCCAATTCGTCAAGCGCATGTGCGAAGAAGGTGTCGTTTTGAGGGAAAGCCAACTTCACGGCCGTATTGATGCTGGCCACCACCACTGCTTCACCGCCATGCACCCTTTCCTCAATATCTCTTCTCTCCTTACCAACGCTGCCCTAAGCAGTCCGCCGAGGCAATCCGGCTGAGTGCGGAATAATTTAGGCTGATGTTGTGGGGTTTCGTATGGTCCGATTTCGGTGAATTTAATGTTTTGATCGAGGCCAATATGTATATTCATGAGCAGCTTGAACTGGAATGCTAAAGATACATTCAATGGTCGTATGGGCTAAACGTATACTTGGTGAGATAAAGCATGTTAATAAACTTAAATGATTGTGAGGAAAAGTGTGTCTGAAAATTATATGTGCCAGAACTCATATCAGTACACTGCGAGCGATTATAATCAAATAAACGTGAATTTGGCATTGCAGCATATACTGCTCACGAAACTACGCCAGCCAGCTGTCGAAATCGTCTCTCACTGCAGGTCGAATGCATTCAATACGGTTCATTACAGCTCAATACAGCTCAATACGGTGCGTTATTTATTGTAGCGTAAAAGTACGTTCTGAATGCACATCGCCATAAGTGCCACGCTCAAAATATTTCTCTTATAGAGTAGTCATAAGTATTCTGACAATATCTTCGCGATAACAAACAGAACGTATGACTTCTCACCCACTGGTCCGCTAGAAATACTGACTAAAATTGAACAAGACAGAACGATAAAAATGTACGCGAATGAATGTTGGGATATTCACTTTAGAGGTCTATTAAAATAGCGTACTTCTATGAAAGCACTCCGCATCATAAAGCTTGTAGTTTGTAACAAGGACACTTACAAGTGTCCATGTTATGCGATATCTACCTAATTATGCATAAGAACTTCGTCAGCTTGCGTTATTGCTAAAACACAGAGAGTTCATTTTTAGCACTTGTTCTCTAATGGAAGCTACTGAAATATAAAGTGCTGGGCTCCAAACTACGTGAAACCAGCGATCTGTTTAAGTTAATTTATGCAGAATCGCATCTCTGGCAGTTTTCCTGTTTGCTATCTTAAAAAAATCATTACATTCCGCAGAGTATGTAATCGAACAAGTTTTAGCACCAGTTTCACCTAAAATGCTTGCTTGCTCAAGGTGTCCTCTTTTTTTCTTCGAATCAAAAGTTCTTGCAACAGCGACACGTTACCAACAAGCGAGAAAGCACGTGGAGCCACGTCTAATTTTACATTCGAGAGCGGTAGCTTTCCGGCTTAACGTGGACGCTTCGGTGTACAAGATGGTGGACGTATGAGCAACTTTGTTTTCGTAGGGAGCATATACAGTAACTAATCGCAACTATATATAAAGTCAAAGCTTTGCTGCAAAGACGAAACAATGAATGCAATGACAACAAGTTGGAAGGTCACGCGAAGAATCGCAAGCAGACCGAAGCATGCCCCGCGTTTCTCACGCACAAATTACGCACGAAACGTAAACACAGGTACATATGAACGCGAATAGCTTATGACAAACGGTACATAACGTGCAAAACATGCATAGCCGCTGGATACCTAGCTGTATCTCAAGAAGCTTTCTCGGTGGCTATAGTGTGTATACTCGCGCACATGTTTTCAAGTGCCGTTCGTGACTGTGGCAGCGACGATTGCACAAAATCAGTATAATCGTAAAGGTGAAACAATGAATGCAATAGCGACAAACTGCAGTGTTATATGTAGTGAGGCTGGCAGTCAACTCATTCAGATCCGATCTCACGTAACTCTACAGAACACCGGCGTAAGAGAACACGGCCACTCCAGGGACCCTCTTGGCACCGTTTTTTCGATTTGAAAACGCAGCCCATAGAAGCTCCCGCCTGAGGTGGGAGCACAAGGTGCGCGCTGATTTTTGCCGCGATGCAACCATAAGACCCCCCCCCCCCTGCCTTTGTTCGCTCACGAGATAAGCGTGCGCGTTGACGACCGCGGTCAGAAAGGTGATGTTCGCTCCGCAGAAAGAGGAGGCTAACACTTCCTTCCCCGTCCATCCATCCATCCATCCATCCATCCATCCATCCATCCATCCATCCATCCATCCATCCATCCATCCATCCATCCATCCATCCGTCCGTCCGTCCGTCCATCCATCCAGGTCGAATGCGTCCATCCATCCATCCATCCATCCATCCATCCATCCATCCATCCATCCATCCATCCATCCATCCATCCATCCATCCGTCCGTCCATCCATCCGTCCGTCCGTCCGTCCGTCCGTACGTACGTACATACATACATACGTGAATCACGGCGGTGGCAGCGGCGATTAGCGAAAAACCACCTGAGACTGTTCATGTGATTGTTATCGCAATAAAATTCTCCGTGTCCTGATGGCACTAGTAAAAACAATCACAAAATATGCAGTAGCTAAAGTTTGCGAGTGGGGCGAAGTTCTCCTCAACCTGTCCTCGTGGTAATACAAGTGCGCGTGAGTAAGACCAACAATGAATCGTCAAACGCCAGTGCCTCGTCCACCGACCTCTGGAAGCTCAACATCGTTCAGAAGCATGAGGACAGGCCATCTGCAATGAACACTTGGACGGACGCCTGAACAGACATGTGCAAGCGCGGAAACATGGATAGATTGACGTACGCTTCGCCCCACTCTTCGATGTTCTACTCCGTAGATATGCTGTGACACCGTTTTTATTAACATGCAATACTACTGGCGACTACGACGACTACGACGACATGGACTTATGACCCGTGGCGTAAGAAGCTTCGCCCCTAAGGTGGCTGCGCTCAACAGGGTCTACGGGGCACTTTCGCTTTGCGCTTGGCTGAAGTTTCTTGATTGTGGTGTCGGATTGCGTTGCTTCGTCAAAGACGAAAGGGTGCTGAACATGGACTGCCTCATCCTCATTGACATGAAATATTTCATAGGTGAAACAGCGGAAATAGGTGCGCTTAGCACGCAAGCATCGAGCTTATTCGGCGAAGCGAACCAGATTTACAGCAACTTGAAAACCTTTCTAGCGAAGGCAAGAAAGCGAAGGCGAAGGCTCATGTGTAGCAGGCCGTCTCCAGAATTTCGCCAGCACCTCTGCGCTGCGTGACTTTACAGGCAAGGCCCTAGCAGTATGTGAGGAAACTAAGCTGTGACTTGCGCTGCTAATTAAATGCATCCCGTTGAGTTCCGTTGTCACGTGAACATCTGACTACGCATGCTGTTCTCTTGATTACAAAACAGAGCTATGTCTGGGCCTGTGTATATGAGATAAGGTAAATCATATCTTTGACTGTAATAGGACTGCTCCTTCCTTTTCGTTAGGCGATCCGTGTTATTAGGTTTCTAATTATTACATTCGTGTGCTTACGAACACTCGCTTGTTTGTGCTGGAGCAGTAAATATTCAAAGCAGATATATCCACGCACACTACGCACCCAACGAATGCACGGACATGATATATATCTGCGCACGAACATACATTCACGGACGCTACGCACTTGACCTTCACGCGCACGCTTTTGCGCGTGTATATACACACACGTCAGATACAACATGTAGGGGGGGGGGGAAAGGACTACAGCAGCTTATTTTCAGAATGGCAGCACGACTTGCACAGAGAACAAGCATTTGCGAGAAATAGTCACACACGTAACGCAACGAATTTTCCAAAGCACTTGCTCGAATAAACAAATTTATACTCCGTGCTCAGAGAAGCCCAAATATTGATTACAATGCACACATGCTAAATAATGGTGCACTCACAGAGGAAAATTTAGTTGTCTTGAGCTAATTGATTAGAACAAATTACCTTAGTTTCATCACCTCCTTTCCAATGCATAAGTTTAAGATTTGCACCGTTCTCCGTCGTGCGTCGTCTAAATACTTCGGGAAGGAATAGATCAATACGCTGCCATCTTTCCACCTCGATGCGACGCATTGCAGCTCACTGCAATAGTCTTTGAACATAGCTCTTCTCTCTTTCGGGTTTGCATGTGTAGGCTGGTGAAAGTTAAGGAAATATGTGGGGCTGCTTCTCAATACGCGCAACGTGGTAACATCATGGATAACTTATCTCCTTTCAAGGTTGACGCTGTTGCGACCTGGGTCTTGCAGCACCGGAAATTTGGGATCAAGATTTCGGGGCAAGAGGAGGTTGAATTTCGTAGAGAGCTTTTATTTACATTATTTACA